TCCAGGATCATGACCTGAGCCGAAGGCAGTCGCTTAACCAACTGAGCCACCCAGGCGCCCGAGCCAATCTTTTAATGGGCCAGATCTAATTCATTCATTTTTTTCCCCTCTATGACTGATAAGATCATCTTAAGTTTGAATCATGATTTTGTGACAGCAGTTAATACTCTGTATAAAATATACATATATTTTATTTTTTTAAAGATTTCATTTATTTATTTGATAGAGAGAGAGGGAGAGCATGGAGGGAGAGTGAGAGGGAGAAGCACACCCCCCACGGAGCAGGGAGCCCGATGCGGGACTCGATCCCAGGACCCTGAGATCATGACCTGAGCCGAAGGCAGACGCTTAACCGAGTCACCCAGGTGGCCCTAAAATATATATTTTTAAAGATTTATTTATTGAAGTAATCTCTACCCCTAATGTGGTGCTTGAATTAACCCCGAGACCAAGGGTCACAGGCTGTTCTGGCTGAGCCAGGCAGGCGCCCCTCTATAAAAAATATTTTGTAGAACAAAATGTTCCCACATTTAAAGCTGTAAAGTCTAGATTTGAAAATAACACACACACACACCACATACTTTTCTATTGTTTTATAGTTTATTTTTAAAATGATAGTAATAAATGCTTTTCCCTTGTTGGGGAATGACATACCTATTTTCAGTGGATAGAGCCTTAAAAAGTAACAGCGTTTTGTCCAAACTGAACTTATATAATTGCACAAAAGTCATACAAAGCATTAATAAATGCTAACAAAGACTGCAGTTCCCTCAGATCCTCATGAAGCATATACCCCAGGAGGCCTTGATTTCAGTGGGGATCTGAGCCTCAAGTTCCTCAGTGACACACAGGCAGAAGAAGAGCAGCCAGGAAGACGCATGTACTTTGTGACAATGGGCTTCTGCTCTAATTAAATGTCAGCATTTAATGATGTATCACCTTCTCATTATATTAGGAACATTAAACACTTCGGCTTGAATTATATTTTCCCAGGATTAAAACTTAACACTATCAGCTTAAGTTTTAGGTTACAGATCCCACATTGGGAAACTAAAATTAAAAAAAAATTAACCACACCATAAAAATCTCTTGCAAGCAGTCCTTTATGCTGCCCCCATCCTGGGCCCTCACTTGGTTTCTAACACACACACACACACACACACACACACACACACACACACACACACAAATGAGCTCTATTATTGCTCATATGCCAGCTGAGGGATGGCAGACAGGGTCTAACGCAAATCCCAATTTTGTTTTATTGGTAGCAGTTACCGGAAACACAGTGTTACAGAGGACTCTGAGGTCACAGCTGGCCTGGCAGGGCAGTCCCTGTGCTGTCCTTATGATCTCTGATACAGACACAGGAGGAGGTAGCACTCCTGCATCAGATCTGTAATCTTTCTATTATTAAGAAAGCTAAAGAGGATGTTGGTTATGTCAGCTTTGAAAAATATAACACAGTCCAATTTTTCTATTTTAATGAGTTACACTGTCTTCATGGGATTTTCTTAAACTTCATGGAATTTTCTTATTTTATGGATCTTAATCTCAAATTAAGATATAATGTCTGTGGCAGGAGCTTTCCCCTTCTGACCTTACAAAGATAGTGAAAAAATAAGGGTGTTTTGAAAGAAGACCCAGAGAGAACTTTCAGTCACCATGAGAAGTACCTTCCTAGCTTGGATATTATGGATGTGGGAAGAGAGGGGTTTCTACTCCAGCAATTGCTACTACTGCGTTTCAAATAAAAAACACAACAGTCTGTTTCCTGATTATGAGGAAAAACACAGATTTCTGATATAAACACACAAAAGTAAGCAGCAGAGGCTATCGAGCTATGCTTCCTTCATTTACATGGCATCATTAATGACCCAACCATCTCTCTCCACCTGAGGGAGAAAAATCCCAGTGTAACGTCTGAAGGACTTCTGAAGAGTAAGGTTTCCATTAGGAGAGCCTGGTGCATATATAAAGTATTAGAGTTAGACATGGAGGAAATGCGGGGCTTGTCTGTGGTATGGCTAAGAATGTACAAGATTTCTGCCCTGTGCACCACTATCTGCTCAACAAATCCTGAATATGTCAGACAGCCCTGAAACACTATGCCATCCATCTCTTGATGGTTCTGATAGTCTGAGGCAATGCTTAGCTACTGAGGTTAATCCAGGACTCAAAGGACAATGTACTTGGCTCAGGCATTAAAAGTCACCAGAAGAATTCTGCCACAGCCATTCTAAGCAGGACTCACATCTGCAGAACTTGACTAGAATCTAAGCAGAAGTCTGTTTCGTGTCCAGGTGTGCTGCTATACATAAAAGCCACCTAGACTTTTAGCTAGAAAGTTGAAGACCACAGAAAAATGATTTACAGGAAGAAAAGGAAATTCCTTTTCCAGGACTGTAGATGAACTAAGGGCACTCAATCCAAGGAAAGGGTTGTTGGGGCCACAGAAGCCCAGAGGGTGAGAAGCTAGAGTTATGGATTTTCAGTCCCCTTCTTTTAGAAAGTAGCATGGGACTGAGAAGTTGGAGGGAGGTGGGGAGGACAGGCCCAGGGACAAGACACCACCTGTGTGGCCACCCACTCCCACAGCTGCTGAGCAAAGCCAGAGCACTCAAGGGCGAGTCCTGGCAGGACAGCGTGTGTATCACTCTGCTTTATACCATTATCTTTGTCTCCTGATGAAGTTGCTGCTTGTCTGCTTTTGGCTCTGTACCTTGGGTTTTCCTGATAAGATGGGCAAACCTCTAGCACTGCAGGGAGTGTTAATCCCCCAGCTCGTTTCTTTCTTAAAATCCCTCGGATTTATGCTCTAACAATCAGCATGTTTTGTACATCCTGGGCCCATATCCAGGTTTAAAGGAGGCAAACACAGTAGTTCTATGACAGAAGCTCCTGAATAAACCATCTGCAATAATCTAGCCCCGTTCACTCTGCAAAGTGAGTTCTTGTATGAATGCAGCCAATGCTGTGTTGAGGGGAAATATGACTCCTTACTACTGCCCTTCCAGTGCTAATATCAGAGAAATAAAAGGTTCATAGGATGTTTACAGGTACTGGGTGAGTTCCATATATTGCACTAGACACACTGTAGAATGATAACAGGAGCATCTCTCTAAAACCTGGGTGCCGTTCCTCTGACGTCAACAGGGTAAGGAGAGGATCTACCCTTGGCCAGGGCAGCAGCTTCAAGGGTGTGCTATGAGGGTCAGTGCACTAAGAATCTACAAAGAAAGCACGGATACCTGGAAAAGGAATCTTCTTCAGATTGAGAACAGACAGAGGTGTAGATCTGTAGCAGATACATATATGCTTTTCTTTCTCTTCCATTTCTTCCTTCATCAAGCGCTAAACACTTTCCAGGCCACAAGCAACCAAATAGCAAGAAAAACTCAAAACTGTTTTGTTTAATAGTTAGTGTTGCTAGAATCTGGATTGGAGCTGAATGGTGGGATTGCAGGACACCAGTGCCCGCAAGGGCTCATATGGTTCCAGTAGATATATAGGATCTGGAAGAGATGGATAGGAGTTATGGAAGGTATGTATTGGCCACCCACAATCACTGACAGGTGGCTTTTGGTATAGGCAGAGACACTGGTGGTTAGCTCAAAATATAAGCATCATAAACAGCTTATGATATTAGGTAGATCTCAGCAAAAGTGTAGAAAGGGAAAGAGTTGGAGAGAAAGAGAAAATTTTCTGTATGTTTAATTGTGTTAACTGGAATGCATGGACATATATAATCAAGGTCTTTCTGTACATTTAAAAATTAAACCTGCCTTGGTCATTAATTGTACAGAGTTAATGTTACTAAAGTTGTAGTAACATACTGTTCAAAAATTCAATTTTCCAGATTTTTAGCTACTTAAATAAAGATCACATACACAATTTCATACATTCATACAGTTGCCACACTCCCAAACGGAACATGTGTAGAAGCATACACGCACAGATGCTCAGATGCGGACGTACACCCCCTCTAAACCTGAGAGGCACGTGGGTTGCAACGAGGGTCAAGAGGCCCTGTTGCATATCTGTTCGATGTCATTCATCTCTTTGGGGCAATCTGCAGAAAGGATGAGAGGTAAATCCTGAGTCACCACGACATCATCTTCAATTCGTACACCAAGACCACGAAACTTCTCTGGGGCATCTCTGTCGTCCTCTGGAATATAAATGCCTGAAAAGTAGAAAAAAGAATGTGCTGTTCCTAAGTGGCAGTAACGATGATTTGGGACAAGCAAGCTAACCTCTCTGTGATCTAACAAATGATCTGTAAAACTGCGATCCTAAGAGTATCTACCTAGAACTGTGGATATTAAGTGGGATAGTACATATTATGTAAAAGTCTGTGCCACATTATGGTCAATAAATGTTGGCTGCTAGAACTACTGCTGTAGTTGTTTGGTATACCAGACTACAGGCTCTATCATGATTCTGTCATATTCTGGTGGTTTAAGCAGGCCACTAAAGTTACTTATGAGTATGTCAACATATGCTGGGAACCAGTAGATTATATAAATGCATTCTTTCTCTGCCTAATCATCCCTTGGGAAAAGGGAACTGCTAAAATAGGGATATAAAGTATTTTAAAATATATTGAAAAAAACCCACTTAGCCTGAACAACAAGCTGTAGAGATACTCAAAGAAGCCATAAATATAACTGATGCACACGATGCAGAATAAGAAATAGGAAGACTTTAAGGAACATTTGGAAAATTCTAAGAGCCCAAGGTACCCTTTCTAATCACAAAGTCAGACAAGAACATGTCTTTTCATATTTAAGAAACTGGAAACTTCCTCCATTATCCGCACAGATGCTGCCCTCTGATAAAAAGAAAAAGATCAGCAAAGGAATATGTAGCCAAAGCCCAAGGAAGCACCCATGCACCAACCAGATTGGAATGAATAGTACATAAGGCCACAGATAGCAATGTAGGACTGGGTAGTATAACAAAGTCAGGTCCCAGCTATAATTTCTATAATTTAGAGAGGAAAACACTTGAAATCAACAGCTGAAATCCATTTTTGTGACAAAAACAGAGTATTTAAAAATTATTCTTTTAACATCAATCCTCACACTCCACTGTGACCACCACTTCTCTGCTGAATTCTGCCCACTGCCCAGGATCATCAAGCTGGGCAGCCATTAGATCACCAGCTTTCTCTGAAGCTCAGGAAAAAGGACTTAGATCCGAAGGAGAATAATGTGGACAGTTAATGCAGTTTGCAGAGTGGAACATGGTGAGTCTGAGTAGCTTTCTGCAGGGAAGCACCTGGGCCTCAGAGGTGTGAGCAGCCCACCACTGCACAGGAGACTAGTACAAGTTGGCCCTGGCAAAAGCAGGGTATAAAAAAAGATTTATTTCTTAATATTTACTTATAAAAAGTATCCCCCATCTTTATTGTTTATTGGAGAAGTCAAATTAAACAAATTGTGTGACGTTAAATAAGAAAGCTCAAGAAAAAAATCTAAAATAAAGTTCCCATCTACACTGAAGAAATCCATTTTCCTGTCTCTCCTAATTTAACTATGTTGGTTCAGGTAAAAATAAACAACATTTACCTTTCTATCTGCTACTATTATGTGTCCCAAGGGATCACAGGCTGCTAGCACCTGCCCTTACCTGGCTCCACTGTGATTACCATACCAGGCTGTAGAGGGAGGGAACGGGGCATGTCTGGAGTGTCATGGACATCCATCCCGAGGTAATGGCCAACATGATGAGGGCAGTATTTTCGAGCAGCCTGGAAAAGGTAATCACCACAGTGTTATTAGCGCAATGACGCCTTAAGGGGAAAGCTGAGCATGCATAAGTCAGTGAGATATGTGTTAATACTTCCCCCACGTTTCTGCCATTTTGCAGTTTAACCTACCCTCAGGCTAATGCTCAAGAGACTTGATAAACTGCTACCTCTTGAATGCAATTCTACTGATGGCCTTTGAACTAATCCACATTTCCTTTCCCATTACTTAATATACTACATACATGCTGACTTGGGTAACCCCAGTAATGACTATGGCAAATGAAAACCTCTTTTCTTGGGGGAGGGAGGATGATTATGTTAGAACAGTTCTCTTTTCAGCGTTCACAAGTCCTTCTCAGAAAGCCGGCTCTAGAGATCCTGAGTATCTCAGGGCAACTTGTGGAGTAGGCACAGAACATCAAATTAACACAGTAATTATTAGGCATTTACCGGCTTGGATATTCCTATCCGTTAATTAGATTTGTTGGCTTCAGCAGGAGGAATTTATAATGTCTTTCCTACTGATAAAAGAAACCCTGGCAGCTAAACTTGGAGATGAGATGCCTTAATGGTCTGTTTGGCGTGGCCACCTGGCATCTTAATTTAAAGCTAAGGTTTTACATTCTTACTGAACATCATTACATTTTGGATGTGGATGAAATTCACTAAAGACATGGCCCTTGGGGATACTGTTCATCTCACCAATGTCACTGAAGCAACAAACACCCTCCCCCACGACTTCTATCTTTTCAAAATCGCCACAAAGGGATTGAGAGTTAACGTCTTCTCCTTTTTTTGTGTCCATTTCCACCCTGTCGGCACCAGACTTCATTTTCTGCAGCTTGAGCTACTTATACAGGATGCAACGAACTAGAATGTGCTGCCATCTTCTGGGAGAAGTAAGTACTGACTCCTTTTGTTTTAATCCATGTTCACTCTAAATTCCTCTTATAGATGAAGATCACAAAGACCATTTCTAAATCTAATTAGTTTTCCATAGTATAAAAACCCAGCAGCACATCAGGTGTTTTTGAGAGCCGGGATCAAAAGAGGGGCAGTACCTTGAAGGCATTATTTCCCTTAATGTTCTTCACGATCCCTAACTCCTTAAGCTTCTGCGCAATCAGTGTCAGCATCAAGCTGTAGATGTTCTCCAAGCTTGTCCCAGGGGAGCAGAGGGTCAGACAGTCTCTCTGTATCTCTAGAACAGCTTCATAGAGTTCTGCCTGAGGTGCTGTGAACCTGGGGACAGGAAAACCAAATAACTCACATTTGGAATAATCTGATATTGCAGGAAGTTTGCTTCTAAATTTGATTAGGAAAACTCCAAGGTGCTGATGATGGGGCATTGTTGATTACTTCATCAGTACCAGTATATCAGTACTGACAGGACCTTAACTGTGCCCTCAACACTCAACAAGAAGAGCAATAACTCTTCAAGCTGGGGCAGCAATAGTCTATCTTTCAAATGATCAGCAGCTATACATGAGGTGAGGGTAGCAGATGCACCCTCCCAGCAATGGGAGGGCCAGATCAAGCTCACCCTTGGTCCATTCCATTTTTTTTTTTACCATAAACAAACAAACAAAACAACAAACCAAAACAAAGGGATCCACTTCCTGTAGGTAAAGCAGATGTCATGAGATAAACTACTAGATACTTTGGCTACTAGTAACATGTAGTTTTTAGGTGTCCTTAGAATAATAATTTCTTTAGCAGTCATGGGGAAAAATAAGAAACTATTAAGTTGGCATAGTATATGATATGGATTTTCTATACTGTTGATGGCAGTCCAAATTAGTATAGCCAATTAAATGAAGGGCCTTAATAATGATACTCATAAAATTTGAGCTTATAATTCTGCTCTAAGATTCCATCCTAAGAAAATATTTGAAATAAAAAAAAAACCGAAAAAAAAAAAAAAATCAAGGTTTTTTTTTTATAATTATGACACACTCTAAATGTCCCCTAATAAGAATGGTTAAAAGAACAATTGAATAATGAACACCTTCATATCCATCTCCAGGTTCAGCCATTAGCAACACTGTTATATTTGTGTCATCTATAAATGTACCTATATTCCAACCCACCACAGTATTACTAAAGAGTTGTTTTTTTATGTAAATTTTATATATACTGAAGTACAGAAATCTGAGCTGTACAATTTTGACAAATGGATGTACTGATCCCAATAAAGTTGGGAACATTGAGCCCTAAATTTGGTTGAGTCTTTGCCAGTAGAAGCAGCCCTTCTACCCCCAGCTAAGGAGATTCACTCTATTTTGACTGAGAACCTACAGGAACCTCCCATGGGGGAGTTGCCTTAGCAGATGGTTCTAGACCTGTGATCAGATTCTACTCTCAGCAGGCCCTAAAAGGTTAGGTATAAAGTGTGACCCACCAGGAGGTGCACTATAATCCAAACAAACAAAACAAAAACTGATGTGATTTTTCCTATTTACATAGACAAAAATCTAGGAATATGTGTAGGAATGTATATGAACACTGCAGGATAATGATGGAAGGAACATAAAGTTGGATAAGGCTGAATGTATTGATAAAAGTCCATTAAGCAGAGGGGTGCCTGGATGGCTCAGTCGGTTGAGCGGCTGCCTTCGGCTCAGGTCATGATCCCAGGGTTCTGGGATCAAGCCCCACATCAGGCTCCCTGCTCGGTGGGGAGCCTGCTTCTCCCTCTGCCTCCCCCCTGGCTTGTGTTCGTGCTCCCTCTCTCAAATAAATAAAATCTTTAAAAAAAAATAAATAAAAGTCCATTAAGCAGAGATTCTGGATTCAGTGTTGCAGCTCCAGGGTCAAATAAGACTCTAACAGTCTATTTGGTTGGTTGGCTGAAACACACACTAAAAGGTAGCAAAGGTAGCCTACACTAAATGAGTTCAAATGCCAGAACTGCCTTGCTATAGAGAAGGAATTCCCACATCTGCAACATCCATTTTTTGCTGGAGTTTCTAGCCTGCTGGCCTACCTCACAAAGTGCAGACATGCCAGCCCCAACTGCATGAGCCAATTCCTTAAAAAGCAATCAACCAACCTACCTACACATATACCCACATACATAATATATCCTAGTGGTTCTGTTTCTCTGGAGAACTCTGACTGATCCAGATCCATATTCCTATCATAACACAGAAAGTTTCCTCACTGTTATTCTAATCAGTATTCCCACAACCAGAGGCAAAGGCTGTTCTGATTATTTTATATTTTTACTTTTTTATTTTTTTATTTTTTTTTTTAAAGATTTTATTTGTTTGACAGAGAGAGACACAGCGAGAGAGGGAACACAAGCAGGGGGAGTGGGAGAGGGAGAAGCAGGCTTCCCGCGGAGCAGGGAGCCCGATGCAGGGCTTGATCCCAGGACCCTGGGATCATGACCTGAGCCGAAGGCAGACGCTCAAAGACTGAGCCACCCGGGTGCCCCGGTCTTCTCTTTTTTTTATCTTGCAAGGGAGTTTATCAATTTTATTAATCTATTTAGGGAACAACCATTTGGCTTTGTTAATTTTCTCTACTCATTATCTTTTTCCTATTTCATTGATATTTTGGTCTTATCTTGTTTCCTTCCTCCTGCTTACTCTGGGTTTAATTTGCTCATCTTTTTAGTAGCTTTCTAAGGTGGAAGTTTACATTATTGATTTCAAACCTTTCTTTTAACGTAAGCATTTAAAGCTACATATAAATTTCTGCTGTAGCTCTATGTGACACATTTTGATATATAGTATTTTTATTATCACTGATTTGAAGTACTTTGTGGTTTCTTCCCTTTCCCTTGTGGTTTCTTCTTTGACCCACTGGTTATTTAAAATATATTCACTAATTTCCAAATATTTGGAGATTTAAAAATATC